ATCCAAGAATTGCCAAGGCACTCAGAGAGGGATAGTCTTCCTGAAAAAATAACTTCCAGTTTTTTGAAGGAAGTCTTGTTTGATTGAGTTCAATCTTAGCATTCCAGGAAACCATTGTAGCTGTTAGGAAAGATTTTGTTTGAACTACACGATTGCTGACCTAGTACTGCAACCTAGAGTTAGCTTTAAATGATCCATTCAGCAAAGCATTTCACAATCATCCAACTGAACAAACCAGATCAATACCTAGCATTCTCAGGAAAGGAGAAAGACTACAGGATCAATGACCAGACTGGACACTTGACTGAATTTACAATTATTCTGTGTTTTCCAAGTGATCGATTGCCAAGAGGCAATTCAATTTGAGGAGACGAATCAGGTACTTGATTTAAAATCTAGTCAAGCAACAAAGAGTTCAAGTTAAGATCGAGTCAACATAATAATTTCTAGCAAAAATCCAAAAGAGAAGGGATCCAATCTCAGAAAGAATCAAACAAAGACAGATTATCATTCAAGCTTGGTGAATGAATGCTATAGCAGGTCATCCTAGAGGTACAGGTTTGATGATTGATTTAAGGAGACAATATTATGACCGATCAACTTTCCTTAAATCAAAAAAGCTATAGCAACTATTACAAGAGAACTATGACAGACCTGAGGATTCAATACATCCGGGATAGGTTAAATTACATGTTTATCTTTTATAATTATTATAGCCAAGACAAAGCCTAGGAATCAAAAGAAATAAACTAAGTGAAATTGGCATAGTTGTCAGATTGATAGCTCTCAAGGCAATAGACTTAGGATTTCGCTTGTGTAATTAATAGAGAAGCCGATCTGAAATGGAAATTGGAACAATTTAATTAGGTCAGGACTGCATGGTGATCTTCACTAATAACGAGTGAGCCTCAAGATCGGAGAAATTGGTTACATCTATAACAAATAAGAGATCCAGGGGAAGAAATGAAGTGGTCAATGGTAATCTGACTTGCTGAAGGGAAGTGGCACAGCAATCAGGAGATTGATGAGACCAATGGTCAATTATCCTTGTCAATGGTTAACAGACTTGGTTTATTGATTGTATCGTCAGATCGATGAATTTATCGGAGATTGATAAGAAGAACTGAGATATACAAAGATGAACTGATCTGGTGATCTCCGACAAGACCTCAATGATTCCAGTGGATGGAGAACATTCTCTCCTTATCAATCGTAATAGTATAGTGGAACAAAAATAAAGATGTAAGGTTATGATTCAACTGTTGGGATAAAGATCACAATCCAAGTTGAATCAAGACTGGATCTGTGTCTTCTCGAGTCGAGTCCCAAAAATAGTTTGAATATAGTAGATGATGATTGCTCTACAGAACAATGGGGATGATATTACAGATGCCGCAAGAGTTGGAGCTGGGATGGTCGATAATGATTATGATGTTCTGAAGTAACCAACGTAGTCTCCGCAATTGAGAATTGGGACTGTGTCACCAGGCAGAGTGCGAATTCGCTATCTGACTTCGTTTCTGCATCTGAACTACAGTCCCAATCAGATGATACTGCCGCTGGACCGATGGGCTTGCGCTTTCTGGACTTTGAAGTTTTAGAAACAAAAGTCTTAGATTGTTTCGCTACTTTAGAGGACTGTGATAACATCCAAGTCACTATCATTGGCTGACTCGTAAGGCTCAGTAGTAAACGATAAGTTGGGCTGAGTAGAAGAAGCAGTAGACTCCGATTGTACGTTTCTTCTCTTGAGGAACAAAAAATAGCTCTCAATTTTCTTTTGGACAGCAGAGT